TCCTGGCCGTGGATTAGCCCAGGGCTGTGCTAATGCTAATGCTAAAGGCGGAGCAGGCAGCCATTAAGACTAAGTCCTCTGGAGTGCAGCTGGAGAGACTGCCTGCTGCTTTCCAAAATCCCCCCAGGAGCATGTTCTCACTTTCTGTCTTTTACATCTCTCTCATCTTTTCCAGGCTTTCTGCCTCCCTCTGCACACTGACTCTCACTCCTCCGCGCTCTGTTGATAGGTGCTTGTGAAAATCTGTTCAGTTTGGTGATATATCCCTTAACTCTCCCTATTTTTCTCTCATCCTGTCTTCTTTAAAAAAAAATCTCATCCCTCTCCTCTGTGTCGGCCTCGCTGCTTTTATTCGTCCATTTTTTCACTTTATGTCTCTTTCTTCCCGTCTCTTGTCCATTCCTCCAGCTAAGCTAAGCATTACATCTGTGGCCCAGTGGATGGGTTGTCAGCTCAGCGGCCATTAAGTGCATATTAGACTAGACTATATCTAAAAAAGAGCAAAAATGTTGGGCAGAGACCCCACCAGCACCTCTGCTATTCGCACTTCATTTATGCCTCATTAATAATTCATTAATCCACAGGTGAAGGTGCTGAATATTTATGTGTCAGGTGATTAGACAGAATGTGATCAGGAGAGACATAGATCATAGCAATACAGGAGGGAGGAAAGAGGTGATGAGTGGTCAAAAAAGCGGCTGTGATGAAAGGGAAATAAGACGAGTGAAGCAGACATTTCAACCCTAACGTTTAGATCCTGTCTTGTAGTAAAAGACTTCACCTGGAGCAGCATTATTAAACAGAGATGGAAAATGGATTGAATTTCCTCTGTAGCCAAAGAATAAAGGATAACTTTCTTTCATTTACAGGCACTTTCCTAGTTCCTTTGAAGTTATCCTCAGATTTTGTTACAAGCTGTGGTTAGTGTGCGCTGACATGCCACAATGGCATCCTTGTCGGTACACTTTCTCCTCCCCCTGGACTCAAACTTGTTTTCATCTGCTTTTGCTCCATAAACAACAGTTGTGTGGTGCAGCGTTTGGGGTGCACTTTGCTATCTTTCTTCCATATCAAAACCGTGCTGTTTGTAGACTTTGTGTACTTACCTCCACTGATAAATAAAAGGAATGAAGACAGCTTGGTCTCAACTCTGCAGTTTTCTCTAGCTATTAAACAGACACATCGGGCACACATGGGGAAAGGGGTGAGACAGGGGTTCAACGAGCCAATTAGTGACTGTACTGTGCAGTTTTTGTGTGCGTGTTTGTGTGTACTGTAATGACAGTACATGCTCGGCGAACTGCTGCAACACAAATACCTCCAGCGCAGCTGAGATAGTTGTGGGATACTGCTCATATCATTACATCTCTATTCTGCCCAGTAAAGTATTTTTTAAACACTTTGCATGACAAGAATCAAGCTTTTTCGTTAGATTTTATTTAATCCTGCCTAGTGTTGTTGACAAAAGAAAAGTGAGATCAGTGAGGTCCTTAAAGGTGTCATAGCCATTCCGTGTTCTTCATAGAGACAGGGTTGCCTTGGAAACCACAGAGGCAGGTAAAGAGAACGAGGAGACATCAACATTTGTGCTCAAGGTTAACTTCAAAATTATTTTGTCTTCTCCTTCTCCCTGATTATAAAGGGATGTATTTTTTGCATCTTTTTCTCTGTGGAGAAAGTAAACTGACCAAAACAAGTTAAAGGATGATGCAAAAAAAAAATGTTTTTTTTTAAATAAGCGTGTAGGATACTTTTATTCTGACTCAGACCAGGTTTGACTGGCACATGAACTAATGCAGAGCAGTGAGAACATGTGTTTCCAATTACGGATTTGTCTTACTCTGTAGATGCACCCTTGAGGCTCATTAAAGAAACACAGTAGCAAAGAACATGTGATCACAACTAAAAATAGGTATTGACAGCATTGCTGACACAAAGGAACACAGAACCCGTCTTGCTGTTAAGGGACTGCACATACATGATGAGCGGCCTTTCTGGCGATGTGTGATTAATCTGGCTCCTTGTGTGGGGTCTCCTCCCACAACATCATGAATCTGCCCTCTACACAAACACTGTACACGCACCATATAGAATTTTTAGCCCGTTTACTAATACTTGCGTCAGCAGATGCGTTGATGCAACTGTGGTAGGATGGCTGTAGCTGAAGGAAGAAGCATTGCTCTCTGTGGGAATGGACACGTGTCAGAGGATGTGACAGGCTGGTCTGTGAAGTCGCTGTTCTCTTGCCGAGACATTTCTCAGCAAGAGGATTCTGGAGGGAGTGGAGCCTTTTAAGGTTGTTTTGGGACAAAAAAAAAGGACAGTATTTCTCTTCCTTTTGTTTCTCTTCCGCCTCTCTGCTCATTGCTCCTCCATTTTATTTCTTCGCTTGAGTGAGTGCTTAGTTATAATAACTTGTAATAGCTCATGATGCTACCTAATAAGGCTTGAATAATTAGCCTATCTTAGCTTTGAAAAAGCATTTCTGTAAACACTGATGTATGGCAACAGGCTTTCAGCCCCCAGTTTTTCTCCTGGCTGCAGATTCAAACTTCAAATGGGAATGGCAGAGAATTGCTTTGTCCTGTGCCAATCCAATCCTGCATGGTTCCACTTCAGGAGGTTGGGAGGTAATTCTCCTGGAAAAAAAAAATGATTGCCAGGATTCCGCAGGGCTCGGCAGTAATTCCGGATGGGGAGATTGTCAGGCTTCCTACCAAGTCTCTAGTGGGTACCGAGGCAACCATGATGACTAATTTGAGATGCTAGCTTGAAATACTGTTGCACAACAGGGTGGTCTGGTGATGCCTCGTAGCCATGCATCTTTTTCGATGCAACCAAATGTGAAACATACTGTACGTATAATGCGAATGTGCGGGATCACAAAAAGCATCGCGTTTGAGCATGCTCGACTATCTGTGTGGATGAGGGTGTGGTTTTTGTGTGCAGATGGCTGTGACCCTAGGCAGTCAATCAGTCAGTCAGTCGTAGCGGAGCTTAGCCGGAGCTAGGAGGGTGACATTGGAGATGCACGGGGCTCTTTAAGAATGCAAGAGAAACGTAGAGGGTTGAGCGCTTCATATGGGGTCAGATTGGTGTCAGTAAACAGAAAACGATTACATTATCAAAACTTATTAACAAAACATTATTAGTACAAATGTATATTCCCAATTAGGGTTTATTATTGTTATTTGTGCCGCTACCATATGAAAATGATAGTTTTTATACTTTTTATACAGTATATTTTTCTTACAGTGAGGAATATAAAATTGTTTTTCTATGAAACCATTTTTTTTTTTTTCAGTTGACAGTTTTTCAACTCTGTGCTATGGATACATTTCAGTCTCTACCAAAAAGTATGCAAATTTGATACCCATCCCTATTCCTGCTGGATAATGAATAATACCTGACTTAATAACTGATTTGAATAAAGGTCAAACAGTTCGTCTTGTGGGTTTTTTTATTTTAAATTGGAAGTCTGTTTTTCTAGATTTATGAACTATAAACTACAATATAAAAAGATTGAAGTGTTTCTTGGGGCATATTAACATAAATAATAATAAATGTTTCCCATGTATTAACTGGTTGTCATTTGTGTATTAACAAATCCCCCGATAAGTGTGTTATGTAGAAAATTCTGGCAGACATCATTCCCCTCATCCAGAAATTCCTGGCTCATTCTGGTGGGAAGAGGTGGGAAAAGATGACATATCGTGTATGTCTGCTGCTGAGATCAATTAAGGGAATTTGTTTGCCCAAATTGTGTTCAGCCAACAAACAAATCTTGGATTGCTATCTGTGTGCCAACACTAGAAAGTGCTACCAATCAGATAGTCGTGGTTTATGTTAAAGATGGTTATAGCTGGTGATAAAGATGGTCTGTGATGAGTCCAGTAAAAAAAAAAAAAAAAAAAAAGCTGGAAAATACACTTTAGAAATACAAACTGTATGTACATGGAACAATTTGATGTTTATTCAAGCTGCAGGGTCTTTGTTTGAGTGCAGGTAAATACCCCTGTGATTATGATTGTTTGAGACAAATTTCCAGTATCTATTAATAATAGCAATTATTTTAAGATCTGAAGATGAAGCAGCTGTCATAATTTATAATGTCCAAATGTAATTTACAGCAGGTCTTATGGCATGAAACATATATTGCTCTTGCTTGAGAATTATAAGGTGTGAATTCTTTTTTTACTTATTGTCTCTGTGGTTTTATGAATCCTGTGTGTGTGTGTGTGTGTGTGTGTGTGTGTGTGTGTGTGTGTGTGTGTGTGTGTGTGTGTGTGTGTGTGTGTGTGTGTGTGTGTGTGTGTTTTTCTACATGCTCTGTGCTGTAATAATCCCCACCCAACCCCAAGCGTTTGACAGCAGGGCTGGTTGCGGTCACACCTGATGTACCTGCAGCTAATCCTATCCCACAACCGATGTCACTGTAACCAACTCTGTCACAGCATTGAGGACAGCCTCAGCTCCTTCCTGACATCTCAGTCACACCTCTCTATCATCTCCTCCCTTTCCTATCTGTTCTCTCCTTGTCCTTGCTTGACTTTATAAACATGTTCCTTCTTCCGTCTCCCTCCCTCTGTTTCTGGCTGAGTGACAGACCCCCTGCCCTGCTTTTGTCTTGTATCTTACCTAATAACATGCTCCGTCTCCTTCACCCCTGTCTCTTCTGCTGTTCTGTATCTTATCATACATTTCTACCTTGATACTAACAACTCCCCCCCTTCCCCTGTGCTTTGATTTGTCTGACATTTCCACCTCCTTTCCCTCGTATTCCTTTCTTTCTCTTTGTCACCTGCTGTACCCACCCACACACCACTATCTTTTCCTGCCCTGCTGCCACCAAAAATAAATCCAGCTACAGGTCGTGTGTCACAAAACAGAAATTGCATTGTGTACCTGTCACCAGTGCTCACATTTTCCTGCACCCAAAGGAATGACTGTCTGCTCTGTCTCTTTCCCTTCTGAACCCCCTCTCCCTTAATTCTTTGCAGAGAGTAAGCTGCGAGTGCAAAAGACCAACCAGTCGCAGGTGTACCCGGAGGACAGTCGTGTCAGGATCAATTGCTCCATCACCTCCCAGACCAGCCAGGACTCCCAGCATGCTGTGCTGTGGTACGTGAGGCGCGCGTCAGGGTCAGAAGCTGATGAGCTCCTCCTGAGAATTGAACGCTCGGGGGCCTTCGAGTACGGCGCCTACGCAGATGAAGAGAGACTGCGACGTCGTGTGCAGGCTGAGAGGCTGTCGCCCCGTTCCTATGTGCTGACGCTGAACAGGGCAGAGAGCAGCGATTCTGGGACGTACTACTGCCTGGTGGAGGAGTGGCTGAGCGACCCAGATGGAGCCTGGTATCGACTCTCCCGGGAGTCCTCAGGGTTCACGGAGGTTCTGGTCAGACAGCCAGGTGAGCAAGCGGTCAAAACTGCTTTTCTCCTCAACAAAATGCATCTTTATTCCCACTGCAGGAAAGCAACAGCTGCCAGTTTAGCCCCACATATTGTCCTATTTTAGATCAGTTGAACATAGTTTAGCTAATCCCTCCTCCAATCCGCTCTCCCCTCACCTTGCCTCCCGCAACACGCTCTGCTTAAGGCCTCAAGGCCTTCTCGCTCTGATGACCTTACACCTGCCTTGGGCAGAGCTCAGGTGGCAAAAAAAATGGGTTGAAGTCATGCCAGCTGTCATATGACACGCCAGAGGGCAAAGCCTGGCTCAGACGGAGAACCAAATCCTCATGTCCAGTACTCAAAGAGCTCAAAGCCATGATGTACCCACTGCCAGACCCTCACGTCCCACTTTATGACAGTTATCTCAAGTACACGCCACCTCAAATCTTTTTCTCTCCTTGACCGAATTTTGCATCACTCTCTTACCACAACCTTTCTTCCATTCATACACAGTGAAACTCAATGCACCCAAATACAAATAAATAATAACATCCTATTCATCCATGACAGTCCCTTTTGTTTGCATGACTTTATTCCACACACCAGCTGAAGGTGACTTTTTTCAGACCTCTCCGAGAGCAGGGTTCTTCTGCCAGGTGTCCTGTTTATAATGCAGAGTGAAAGCCATGATATGGCATCCATCCAACTAGACCGTGAGGATCCAAACGTCTGGTCATAAGCCAGTGTGGCAAGGAAAACTGCCTGTATTTTATGTAGATAGCGAAGTTCACACTGCCCCCACAGTTAATGAGGCTACAGCAAACGTACAAATGCAGAGATCTGCAACATGCATATGTGTATCTTGCATTGGGTGAAGTATATTCTTAATAACCTTTTTATAGATTTTAACTTTTAATGATATTTAAACATGTCCATAAGATAAATAGAATATGCATATGCAGTATAAACATCATGGATATTCATCAGGAGCTAAAAAATGCATTCACCTTGGAAATCATCCAGAAATCTGCCCATCGAGAGGAAAGATGAGGGGAGATGTGTGCCAGCACCGGCCGATTTTCCTGCTCTCCCGCTGTCCTCTCTGCTTCTCATTTTGTTTTAACAAGAAGACTGTTCCAAACTGTGTGCAAGAGAAACCCAAGCAAGCCAGGTCTTTAATGCCATATTTTTTTAACTGCAGTGGAACTGGGTCATTGTACCACCCCTGAAGGGCTGTCACATACTTATACAGAAAGATACACTAGCCTTGGGGTAGGATCAAACCTTGCTGAAAAGCTCAAAGACTGGTGATAGCTGTGGGCAGCACTGTGGGATTTATTTATTTTTATCTTTTTTTTTTTCTTTTTTTTTTCCCGGTCGCAAAGTTCTGTGTCCCTGTATGCATAATCGTGCTGTTTTTATGGTGCAACTTGAAGTTCATTAAGGCTGCAACTAAGACTTATTTGAATTATCAATCAATCAGCTGATATTTGACTAATTGTTTTGTGTGTGAAAAGTCCAAAAACCATAATTACCCAGAGGCAAGGATTACATTTTAAAATGACCTTTTCTGTCTGACCAACCTTCCAAAAGAGACTTAATTTATTATCATATAATACTTTACTATTATAGATGGTAAACTCACTTGAATGACTTCATGACCAATCATGACCAATCATTTATTGGTTATGAAATTATTTAACTTTCAATCAACTTATTCATTAATTGACTAATTTTTTGAGCTCTAGTTCAGACACATTATCAAAAAGCAGCCGTTAATGTTACTTTAAGTGAGTTTTGTGACTTGTGCTCTGTTGCCGAGGCTCCAACCAATACTGTATATTTCAATATTTATCATAATTTTCTGCCCCAATCTTTTTCTCTCTCTCTCTCTCTCTCTCTCTCGCTGTCTCATCTTCTTGGTCTTCTGCAGAGGTTCGACTGCAGGTTGAGGAGATGGAGTCAAATGTGACAGTGGCAGAGTCCGGTTCAATCCGGCTGGGCTGTAGCATTCCTTCCCAGTCGTCCCGAGACTCCCGCTTCTCTGTGTCCTGGTATGTGGAGCACTACGAAGATGAGGACAGCGAGGACCAGCCAGGCGAGGAAGAAAGGGAGCGGGAGTGTGTGTTCTCCATCGGCCACGATGCCGTTTTTGGAAATGGAAACTGCAGCCCCAGAGAGGAGGCGGGGCCTACTTCCCGCCTGCAGTTTGAGAGGATGGCCTCTGACCAGTACAGCCTGACCATCCAAGGAGCCCGGCCAACAGACGCAGGCCGATACTACTGCCATGTAGAGGAGTGGCTACTCAACCCCCGCAACGCATGGTACCGCCTGGCTACCAACAACTCTGGGTTCACTATCGTCAATGTGCTGCAGCAAGGTAAATCCTTAATTAACTAAATCCTTTGAGCTTCCCTGAGTGTAGATGAAAATGAACACAGTGACAAAGCAATACTTGAATCAATGGCTGTCCTCAGATAGCAAGATAGGATTTCATTTTACTCCTGCTCCCTTGAATGTTTTGTCTCGTGCTATATTCTGTCATATTGCCCAATCCTAATGTGTCCTCTTTGTTACAGTATATGTAACAAGATAATATTAATAGTCCAATTAAGGAGCTCTCAGATACTCTGAATGTCATCCCTGCCTTGGATGATCTGCTCCCCCCCCCAGTCACAACATTTATTTTGAAGATTGGAACAACCCCAGTTAAAAGCAGAGCCAGACATGGCCGCCCACTGTTTAGCATTAAAGCAGAGCGATTAATGGCGTCAAAAGCAGTGCTGCGATCTAAAGAATTCAAACAGATTCATTCACCAGTGTCAACAACTAGAGGAAGATCATCTGTAGCTGTGAGAAGCGCCTTCACCATGTTAAAAGTCATTAAATTCAATCAAAAAGCCCATTTCATTCCGTCATAATCAGTTTTTCAGTGACTGATTTCTTCAGGACAACACCGAAGATGGCTTTTTAAAAAAAAAAAATTGTTTTTTTTTTTTTCTTCGACTAAAAAATGTTGATTTGTTTATACTCTCTCAACAGTGTCCACCCTCCAGTCAGTGGTCTGCTCCAACGACTCCCTCTTCTACTTTGTCTTCTTTTACCCTTTCCCCATCTTCGGCATCCTCCTCATCGCCGTGCTGCTGGTGCGCTACAAGAGCCGCAACAACAGCAAGAGCCAAGAAGGCAAGAACGGCGCCCCCCTCCTGTGGATTAAAGAACCTCACCTCAGTTACTCTCCCACCTGTTTGGACCCCCCTGCACTCAGCCTGCACCCTGGCTCTGTTGACTAAGCGAGGGTCCTCCCCTCCTGTCTCGCACACATTGCGGATCTAACCGACACGATGCCAGGGAGCAGATCTGGACTACACCTTCAGACCTTACTGTCGTTCACTGCTGTGTTGAATTAGTCAATCAGTTGATCAGTTTAAAAATTCCCACCCTGGTGGCTGCCTGTTTTATGTTAACAACTGTGTGTGTGTGTCTGGGTGTGTGTTTGGGTGTGTGGACTAGAACGAGTGTGCCATGTTAGCACAATTAATTGTGTGAGTGCAAATTGAAGGGCAAGAGAGTATCATGAGCCTCTCTCATTTATTTTTATTTTTTTTGGTCTCTGTGAAACTTCTCATAGCTGCATTTTGATTTTTATTACACTGAATATTTGTCTATTTTTCAAAAGAGAAAAAAAAACTGCGCACATGAGATCATTGGCCAATCCGTGAGGAACGTTTAAGAGAAGGGACTCTATAATCAACTCCGGCACTGAGCGGATGCCAAAAAAAAGTCTCCGCACTGATCCAAGAGCAGCCACAGCCTGGCCCACTATGTTGGTTGCCATAGTGATGCTCTGTGCCCACTGACTCCGTAGCTGATGACTTGGTTTCCAGCCTGCATAGAGACAAAGGCAAGGACACACAAGTCTGTGTCCTAAGTGAGGATGTGTGTATGTGTGTTGGCCCACCTGCCTCCACAATGAATTTGCCTTGGCAGACAGAAACAGGTCCTGGTGCGCCGCTTAAACACTGCCAGACACTCTGGCCTTAGTGAGAGACTGCTCCGCTCTCTCTTCTATCCTCCTCCTCTCCGAAAGAGACAGCGAGAGAAAGAGAGGGAGGGAGGTCGGAAATGACGGAGAATAAATGAACAGCTCTCTCTCCTGCTGAGGATATACGTCCTTTAAGACAGGGGATTTTTTTTTTTCAGTGCCAAGTCCTCCTTATTTCCACGCTGTCGTCTGCAGCCAATATTTGAAGTTTTAAAGAGAGTGGAGGGGAGAGCTGATTGGTTCTGAGGCAGATTGTAAATATGTCTGCTTACCTCCTGCTGTGGGTTTATGGGCCTTGTGGGCAAAAGGTCAAATTTTTACACTCATGTTAAGTCAGTTGAATTGCCCTTCTTAAACTGCACAGTGGGGGTCACTGACTGAAATTAAATTCTTGCACATTTCTTTAAGTTGCCCAGTATGACCACTCTGTCATCCTGTCTTTAAAAGATATCAGAAGCTCAAAAGATGCATATTAGTTCAAAAAAAAGACTTGATTTGTTAAGAGCCACACTGAATATTACTAATGTGTAGATGTGTAGTAAAACACTCTAAAAATGTAATCTGCACATTATTAGGAAGCAAATTGATGGATGGGGGCAAATGTTTGACTTTTGTGTTTATTTTAAAGATTTTTCTATTTATTGTTTTATACTACTTTGCATAGCTTTGTAAAATTTTCTTTTTGCTTTGAAATTCTCTAAAAACTGTGCTGCTTGTGTTGCCAGGCAACTGCACCAAGCAGATTATGTCAATAGCCTGTGTGTTGGCAATGTGGTAGATGTAGAAATGCTAGATTTGTCCTGCGCATTGCAGTGTGTAGCATTTCATACCAGATTGTCAAGTTTGGTCAGTGTCAATACACTGTATATCTATATCTATAATGGAATTTACTGTGGCTTTACATGTACAGTAGTTGAACAGACAAGTCACACAAATGGATTCACTTAATGCTTTTTTGCTTGAGTCGCGTTTATTTAGTGAAATGTGATGTAACACCTAGATAGGATGTTTGATCAAAGACAGCCGAAACCGAACTGTTAAAACGTCTTCTAATCATGGATTCTAGCTGAAGGCGCATCTCCTCAGCTCCCCTGACGCAAGGCAGAAGGGTTGAAAATCTGTGTCACCTTCCCTGGAATGCAACAGCCAGGAGAGGTGAGAAATCCTCCACCCCACCTGGGCCTAACCCTTTCACTGCCAGACTGGACTTGAAAACTCTTGAAAAACTTGACATTGTTGTCTCAATTGTGTCAACATGTATATTGCATGACAATACTGAAGGAGAAATTTTGATGTTTTGTAAACTTTGAACTCTTTGAGCATCGTGTTTGTGTGACAGAGCAGTGCCCAAACCCCCCCTCCCTCTCCCCAACTTCCTGAGCCAAGAGTCAACACAAAGCCCAGCCCCTCGTCATTTACAATATTTGACTGCCGATTATGCCCTTTGAACCTGTGAAGTAATCTATTTCAAGAATGGGTGTTGTGGAGATTGTGTTTGATATTATTGCTCATATTTGTCCTTTTAAGGCTTTGCTTTTATGCAGCACTTCATTAAAGCCAAAAGCTACGTAGCTGATACTGACACAAGCCACCAACTTCTAAGATTTCAACTTCCTTCACTGTTTTTTCTAGTTAACCAGACCATTTCAAGTAGACCACACTATTTCAGGTTGAGAAGAGCTGGTGCTATTAAGTCAAGGGAGTCAGAAATGTGATGCATGTGCAGCAAATTCAGCTACAACTCAATTGATAGATATCTTCAAAGAAAAGGCCAATTAATTAGCTGCCTGTCTGCTCATTATTAACCATATGTTTACAATTATTTTCATATGAGAGATATTGATGTGAATTAGTAATCCTTAGCAAAGAATTTGGGTGATGTGCGCACTTGACCTCAGTTCGGCATAAGGTGCCGGAGAAAAGCAACATACTTTGAAAAAAGACAAGTAGTCCACACACTGAATATTGTAAGCTAGTAAATGATTAGACAACATTTCAACAATAAAAGTCTTACTCATACCCATGTGAGAGGAAAAAAAAGATGACAAGTCCAAGTATAATTAGGAGAACACCTGTTACAGAACCCTACAACAAAAACATTGTTCACTATATTCATTCATAAACTAGCTAATAGACCATCCAGGGTGTGTGTATAGATATATGTGTGTGTGTGTATATAATAATATATAATACACATTTCTGAAAAATGCAGTCATAGAAAATATGTACAATGTTGTGATTGTGCATGAGGAAGATACATCTACAAATATCTAATTGTCCTCCTAATACTGTGTGTGTGTGTGTGTGTGTGTGTGTGTGTGTGTGTGTGTGTGTGTGTGTGTGTGTGTGTGTGTCTACTATGTCCAGTTTTTCTCTCACATGGTGTTTGCCTAACAAAGACCTTGGTGGTCAAAATGTTGCCTCATTAAGTTGCAATAATCAACGTGTGAACTACCTCTCTCATGATAAAAAAAACCTTTAACCCTCTGTTGCTATTTGATGCAGTTCTAGTGCAAGTCAAAGGTATACATCAAAACAGCAGGAAAGCCATTCTGTGCATTTCCAGGTCCCAGTATCACCAGGAATAATTAATGGAGCTGTTGGAAAGGTGTGATTTGAAAGTAATGGTTGCATATCGTATTGACTTGCATTTGCTCTGGTAGTAAATGCTAATATGAAGCTGATTTCAGTTTTTTATAAGCGAAAGGAGGTTGTTTGTTGGTTGAAAAATTGATCTTTTTTATAAATCTTGAACATTCCTATGGTGCCACTGAACAGCTGCTCGAGCTTCACTGAGTAAAATCACATAATCCTAGACTTAGTTTGTTCAAAATTCAACCCATCACATCTTTCTAGACTTGAGCCAGGAAGTGCAGGGCATGGCTGTGGTGTGTGAAGTCACAGTGCTGCCGCCGCCATCATTGGAGCTGTACACAAACTTTTTTTGTAGTAGTAGTAGTAGTAATAATATGAATACCATCCAGTGCGGCCTCCCAAGATTCCTCCAGACGTTCTGACAGTGTTGTAGCTGCGTTTTGAGGGCTGCATGTTTTGGCTGTGTGCTGGCTCCAGATTTAGGTGTAAAATAGTTTGTGGTGATGTTTTCAGTTCAGCCAGTGATGCTTTATTTTCAGTGATGTATTTTTATATGACCATGGTTTGTTTTGTTTTGTTTTTTTTTTGTTTTTTTTTGTTCTATCTAATAGTTGCCATCGTGACCATTAAAAAGGCACTTTGCTATTGTCAGTTTATTGCAATAAAATACATTCAGTGCATCCTCCTGTTTTCTTTCTATAACTATATGCTCTTTGCAGTATTTGGAGATGGACTGTAAAAACAACATATTGATCCAGTTTTCTCACAATCATGAAGTACGAAAATGCTACCAGCACCCTTCCCAAACATCTAGTTCTGCTTTAACTGTAAGCCAAAGGTTAATGCGCTGCAGGCAGCAGGGTCTTGTTAAGTCGGCGTGGGATTTTAACCTCTGAGCCCCTCAACATCGTGAAGGTTTATTTACTCCGCATGTGCAGTCGGTCTCTGTGTGTATGTGTGCCTTTTTGAGTGGAGGAGTAAGAGGGATTGGGTCAGCAAGTCAGAGGATAAATGATGCTTAGAGGGTCTCCTGTAAGTTAACCAGGCACTATTTTGACAGCCTCATCAAATCACATCTCAGCATTCATAACTTATAACCAATGCAGATGGACATGCTCACTCTTCCTTCCTCTCCCCGTCTCCCTCTCACGTATACAAATAACTCCCCAGCAGTAAACTGCAGTCTTCCGCCAATCCATGCCATTCATAAACTTCTCTCTGACTCCCTCTCCCATGAATTCATATTAATGCATATTGATGCACACATACCCAATGAAACCAAGGACAAATGCTGCCACCCACTCCATAAATCATGGTGACATAAAGGGAAAACAGCATTCACTGCAAGAATCATAGTTTGGTGTTTGCTTGTGGAGTTACCGGATCATTTTCTGGATTCTGTGATGCATGCAGGTTCCCCTGCAAGAGTTTTTGGTCAGCTCCTGACAAAACAATTTATCTTGACTGAAAGAGCCCCCACACTCAAAGATCTATTGATGCTGCTAGCGCTGATAGCAGGCACACTGATACTGCTGATGTTATTGTCAGCCAGCGCCGTCACAACTTCACAGGGTGCAAAAACACCAAATCCTCCCCCTTTGAGCACTCCCTGTCCCACTTTCTCCCTGGTTTTTGTTCTGTCTCCATTTTGTCAAGCGCACACCCTATGAGGAAAGATCTGTTTTGCATAAAAGTAAGCAACACTCACAAATCTAAAGTCCTCGCTGAACATGCAGACACCAGAGGGCACACATGGGCAGACAGTACTTAACGATCCAGAGCAGCAGGGCAGCAGTCAGGCAAATAGATTATGATTTATTACCAGTGAGAGAGGTCACACTGAGGAGAATGCAAAGACCGAACATGTCTTATGCTGCTTTCACTGTGGTGAGCTTGGATTCATAGTAACAATGACAGAGAGAAAAATCCATGAAAGTCAGTAAAGATCAACAGCATACAAGTGTGAATAGCAAAAGGGAAAATTTACTTGTGTAGAAATATGTGTTCACTGAACTCACAATACTCAGCAACCAATATATAAAAGCTGGATAGACAGGTTGTTCTGTTCTTAGAGATAAAGACATAAGGGAGCTAAAAAAAAAATCAACAGCTTGTAGAGTGTGACTGGTCTACTGAGGCCTATGCAAAGCTTGTTGCACTCACCTTAGTGTGGTATGACTCACTTAGTGATGTATGTGTGAGTCAGCCAGAACCACCTTAATACTGTCACCTACTTTGAAACATTCGTATTTCAAAGTAATGCGCTGGATTCTGTCTCAATGGTTTATACACAGAGGTAACCAAGGGCGTAGGTTTGGTCTTAATATTGGTAGTGACGCAACAACCCTGCCACCCCTCCAAAACGTCTGCATAAAAACGTAAAAAAATGTCATAGGATAATAAGACATAAAAATGTGAAAAAAACGCCATAGTATATTGACGCGTACAAACGCAAAAATACATCATAGTATAGTAAGGCAAAAATGGCCATAGCGTAGTCAGGAATAAAAATGCCAAAAAAAGTCATACTATATAACATTAATGAACATCATAGTATAGTAGGCCAAAAGGTCATAGTATAGTAAGGCAAGAACATGCCAAAAAGGTCATAGTATAGTGAGGCATGAAACATTAAAAAAAAAGTCATAGTATAGTAAGGCATTAAAATGCCAAAAAACGTCATAGTATAGTAAGGTATAAAAACATTTAAAAAATGTCATAGTATAGTCATGCAAAAATGGTCATAGTATAGCAAGACATAAAATGCCAAAAACTAATCATAGTATAGTAATGCATGAAAACGTCAAAAAAACGTCATAGTATAGTCAGGTAAAAATGGTCATAGTATAGTCATGCCAAAAACGCCAAAAAACGTGGTAGTATGGTAAGGCATAAAAATGCCAAAAATGGTCAAAGTGTATTTAAGCATAAAAATGCCAAAAAACGTCATAGTATAGTAAGGCATAAAAATGCCAAAAATGGTCATAGTATAGTTAGGCATAAAAATGCCAAAAAAACGTCATAGTTTAGTAAGGCACAAAAATGTGAAAATGCGTCATAGTATAGTGAGGCATAAAGACATTAAAAAATGTCATAGTATAGTAAGGCATAAAAATGTCAAAGTATTTAGGCATAAAAATGGAAAAAAATTCATCATAGTATAGTAAGGCATGAAAACGTCAGAAAACGTCATAGTATAGTAAGGCATAAAAATGTGTAAAAACGTCATAGTATAGTAAGGACAAAATGGTCATAATATAGTTAGGCATAATAATGCAAAAAAACTTCATAGTATAGTAAGGCATAAAATCGCAAAAAACATCACAGTTTAATAAGGCATAAAAATGCAAAGAAATTCATCATAGTATAGTAAGTCATGAAAACATCAAAAAACGTCATAGTATAGTAAGGCAAAAAATTGCAAAAAAAACGTCATAGTATAGTAAGGCATAAAAATGTGTAAAAACGTCATAGTATAGTAAGGTAAAAAAACGTCATAGTATAGTAAGGCAAAAAATTGCAAAAAAAACATCATAGTATAGTAAGGCATAAAAATGTGTAAAAACGTCATAGTATAGTAAAGTAAAAAATGGTTAAAGTATAGTTAGGCATAAAAATGGGAAGAAACGTCATAGAATAGTAAGGCATAAAATCGCAAAAAACGTCAGAGTATAGTAAGGCATAAAAATTGGAAAAAACGTCATAGTATAGTGAGGTATGAGAATGCCAAAAAAGTCATAGTTTAGTAAGGCATAAAAATGCAAAAAAAATCATCATAATATAGTAAGGCATGAAAACGTCAAAAAACGTCATAGTATAGTAAGGCATAAAAATGGGACTAAACGTCACAGTATAGTAAGGCATAAAAATGGGAAAAAACATCATAGTATTGTAAGGCATAAAACCGCAAAAAACGTCATAGTATACTAAGGCATAAAAATGTGTAAAACCGTCAGAGTATAGTAAGTCAAAAATGGTCAGAGTATAGTTAGGCATAAAATCACAAAAAACGTCATAGTATAGTAAGGCATAAAAATGTCTAAAAACGTCATAGTATAGTAAGGTAAAGATGGTCATAGTATTTAGGCATAAAAATGCGAAAAAACGTCATAGAATAATAAGTCATAAAAATGCCAAGAAATGTCATATTTTAGTAATTCATGAAAAATAAAAAATACATCATAGTATAGTAAGGCATAAAATCACAAAAAACGTCATAGTATAGTAAGGCATAAAAATGTGTAAAAACATCATAGTATAGTAAGTCAAAAATGGTCATAGTATAGTTAGGCATAAAAATGGGAAAAAACGTCATAGTATAATAGGGCATAAAAATGGGAAAAAACGTCATAGTATAGTAAGTCAAAAATGGTCACAGTATAGTAAGGCATAAAAATGTGAAAAAACGTCATAGTATAGTAGGGCATAAAAATGTGAAAAAACGTCATAGTATAGTAAGTCAAAAATGGTCACAGTATAGTTAGGCATAAAAATGGGAAAAAACGTCATAGTATAATAGGGCATAAAAATGGGAAAAAACGTCATAGTATAGTAAGGCATAAAAATGGGAAAAAACGTCATAGTATAGTAAGTCATAAAATCGCAAAAAACCTCATAGTATATTAAGGTAAGGATGGTCATAGTATAGTTAGGCATAAAAATGTGAAAAAACGTCATAGTATAGTAAGGCATAAAATCGCAAAAAACATAGTATACTAAGGTATAAAAATCTGTAAAACTGTCATAGTATAGTAAGGTAAAGATGGTCATAGTATTTAGGCATAAAAATGCGAAAAAAACGTCATAGTATAATAAGTCATAAAAATGCCAAAAAATGTCATATTTTAGTAATTCATGAAAACTAAAAAATACATCATAGTATAGTAAGGCATAAAATCGCAAAAAACGTCATAGTATAGTAAGGCATAAAAATGTGTAAAAACGTCATAGTATAGTAAGTCAAAAATGGTCATAGTATAGTTAGGCATAAAAATGTGAAAAAACGTCATAGTATAGTAAGTCAAAAATGGTCATAGTATAGTAAGGCATAAAAATGTGTAAAACCGTCATAGTATAGTAAGGCAAGAATGGTCATAGTATAGTTAGGCATAAAAATGCGAAAAAACGTCATAGTATAGTAAGGCATAAAAATGGGAAAAAAAGTCATAGTATTGTAAGGCATAAAACCGCAAAAAACGTCATAGTATACTAAGGCATAAAAATGTGTAAAACCGTCAGAGTATAGTAAGTCAAAAATGGTCAGAGTATAGTTAGGCATAAAATCACAAAAAACGTCATAGTATAGTAAGGCATAAAAATGTCTAAAAACGTCATAGTATAGTAAGGTAAAGATGGTCATAGTATTTAGGCATAAAAATGCGAAAAAAACGTCATAGTATAATAAGTCATAAAAATGCCAAAAAATGTCATATTTTAGTAATTCATGAAAACTAAAAAATACATCATAGTATAGTAAGGCATAAAATCGCAAAAAACGTCATAGTATATTAAGGCATAAAAATGGGAAAAAACGTCATAGTATAGTTAGGCATAAAAATGCCAAAAAAAGGTTATAGTATAGTGAGGCATAAGAATGTGAAAATGCGTCATAGTATAGTGAGGCATAAAAACATTAAAATACGTCATAGTATAGGCATAAAAATGCAAAAAT